GGGAAACCATATTGTCTCAGCCTAGAAAAGACTGATTTTTATAGATAGAAATAATAGGAGATAAAAATGCCAGTTATTTATGCCAGCTATGGCTTTGTCTCTAGCATAACCCATCCTCTCTTTAGAAAAAACAAAAATAATAGGGTAATAGAGTACCACATGCATTCATGAGACCTGGGTTCAATCTTTGTACTGAAAATCAAAACAAAAACAATTAAATTAAAATAAAAACAGATACAAATGGTGGAGGGTACCAGGTATTTTTTTTATTTCTTTGTAAGTTGATTGTTGAGGGATTTAAGAATTTTTCTTTTTGAGTATTTTTTATATTTTGTTTTGTGGCCACAGCTTCAGCTGTGCTCAGGGGTTATATCTGGTTCTGTGCCCAGGAATCACTCCCTGTGATGCTGGGAATGCTGTGTGGTGCCAGGAATACACCTAAGTTGGTTGCATGCAAGATAAGCACCTTAACCCCTGTACTATCTCTCTGACCCTATTCTTGACTATCTTTAAAAAAATTCACTTGATCACTTGACATCCTGTTACTCATGGACTTGCTCGAGCGGGCGCCAGTAATGTCTTCATTCATCCCTGTTGCATGCTAGCATAGGCCAATGGCATGTGCTTGTTCTAGGAACACAAAGAGCCCCAAACCAATCGTTCAGGGTCTTGATGAAGAAGTCTGGCCATCTCGTAGGTGAGCGGCCATGGGATCTTTTGACATCCCGTGGAATCCAGTCGGTAATGGTTCTAGTCCAGTGGTCGTCTCCAAATCGCATCACGTGTCCAGCACATCTGATTTTCGACACCTTGGCAAACGAGAAAGTGTCCTTTATTCTTGATTGTCGACAGAGGTCAGAACACTGGATTCTTTCTCTCACTTGAATGAAGCGTGATACTCTAAGCATAGCTCTTCCATTTCCTCTTTGGGAGACTTGAATAGCATTCTCATCCTGTTTGCGTAGGGCCCAGGTCTCTGAGGCATATGTTAATGCAGGAAGAATAGTGGAATCAAAAAGATGTGCCCGGAGTCAGAGGTTCTTCGTCCTCTTAGCTATTTCTTCGATGTTCTTGAAGGCATTCCAAGCCGCTCTCTTCCTCCTGCGCAGCTCGGGTGCCAGGTCATTTGTCACGTTGACTTCTCGACCTAGGTGCACATAACTGTTGCATTCAGGAATGTTCGTTCCATTGAGAGCAAATGGAACATCAGGAACGAGACCGTTTCTCATAAACATTGTCTTTGTGAGATTCAGCTGTAGTCCGACCTTTCCACACTCATGGTCAAAGTTGACAAACATTTGTGCTGCTTGGCTAATGTTTGGTATTATTAGAATGATGTCATCAGCGAAGCAGAGGTGGTGTAGTTGTCGACCGTCTATCTTCACTCCCATTCCTTCCCATTCCAGTCGTCACATGCCATTCTCGAGGTTGGCACTGAAGAGTTTCAGTGAAATGGTATCACTCTGCCGAAACCTCTCTTGACATGGATGATCACGTCCTTGTAGAATGGTGAGATCCTGGTAGTGAATCTGTAATATAGCTCATGGAGGATCCTGATGTATTGAGTTTGAATGCCCTGATTGGCTAGGGCTTCAATGACCACTTCAGTCTCAACAGAATCAAAGGCCTTCTTTAAATCGATGAACATTAGACAGAGCAGCATCTTGAACTCCTGAGAAACCTCAATGAGCATGGTTATCATGTGGATATGGTCAATGGTGCTGAATCCTTTGTGGAACCCAGCTTGCTCGCATGGTTGTCCTTCATCTAGTGTTCAGCCAATCCTATTCAGGATGACTTGAGTGAACAGCTTGTAGACAACAGACAACAGGCAGATCGGGCGATAGTTGCCAATGTCGTGGATGTCTCCCTTCTTGTACAGTAGTACAGTCCTGCTGGTTTTCCATTGGGACAGAACCTTGCATTCAGACAGGTAGCATGTGAACAGCCAAGCCAGTGTATTGATGAGTACTGACGGCAGGTTCTTCAGGTGTTCAGGTCTGACCTTGTCTGGATCAGGTGCTGTTTGCTTCTTTACCAACAAAATGGCGTGTCAGATTTTGGAAGGGAGAACATTGGGAATGACATACCCATCCTGCGGAATTTGGTATGTGTTGGACGTGGCTACCGAAGAGATCCGAGTAGAAGTCATGGATAATCTTCTCCATTACCCTTCTGGAAGATGTGGGAGATCCATCAGGATATCAGAGGGCAGTCATTTTGGTCTTGTAGTTGGCAAAGGACAGGCGGGTGTTGCGAATGCTGTTCCCGGCTTCTGCTGCATCTGCCAGCACTACTGCTCTTCTCTCTTTGAGGTCTTCCTTTATTGCTTCTCTGCACTGCTTTGCGAGCTCAGACGTTCACTTGCGGTTGCCTGAGGCTTGCACCAAACCACATTGGTGAATGAGCTCAAGAGTTTTCAAAGACAGGCGTCTTTTTGTGGCCAACACCAGAAAAGGTGTTGGTTGATGTAGACAACAGGATAGTGGCCATGGAAGTCGGAATCTGCTAAGGAGTGTGTAACAACTCACCTGCTGAATCAACTAGCTCTGAAAATGGATGGCGCTGGTGCGTCGAGCCCATACCCTGCCGTCGCTGGCAGTCAGTGATGCATGAGAGGGGGACGAGAGCACCTCAAGTACAGGGCCCGCCCCAGAAAAAACCCACAGACGTGGAAGCTATGCCTAGACGAGAGGGAGGGCCACTGCGGTGAGCCTTGAAGCCTAGGGCGTGGGCCCGGATGGAGCCGCTGCAGGTGCAAATCTTGGTGGTAGTAGCAAATATTCAAAAAAATTCATATAAAAATTTTAATAAATGATGCATAGCTTTGAAACAGGCGGTGAAACTCAGTATTCAAATGTGTAGGGTGACACACATTTAAATGTTGGTGTGACACACATTTGAAAAAGGGTGCAGGGTGATAGTTTTTCCTTCTTGTTTCAGCTACTATCAAAGAGTAACTGCACTGTCTACTTTTGGAAAATGGCCAGAAAGAACTTTTGCCATGGTGGTTCTTGTGGTGGTCAAGCCCACGCAGTGCCAAGGATCAAACCCAGGGTCTCACACACATGCCAGTCTTGTGCTCGGTGTTGAGTCATCTCCTGGCCCAGTATGACACATTCTATTTGAGCTATTGTGGTACAGAACTGAGCTCACTGCCAACACAGCAGGCCCTTTCTAGGTAATATGAGTGGATGGAAAGTGATGAAGAATGAAACTGTAATCGAGGGGTTGAGAATTCCCCATCAATGGACTTAATAAAAAATACTTTGGTAGCTGAGGGAGGAAGCCTCCTGGAGAAGAGGTCTCAGAGTCTGACTCAGATTTGGACCAGGAGGGGGTCCTCACCAGCCAATGTCTTTGAAAACAATCAAGATTCCTGTGTTTAATTTTGCCTTTCAGAGCCTAAGATATTTGCTTGAGGTTAAGTGATGCTAAGAAAAGTCTTATTTCAGAATAAGCATTCTATTACATTGCATTAAAGGACTTGAATTTTTTTTAATTTGCATAGGGCAAAACCATTTAGCAATCAACCATCACAAATCGACCTTTATCGATTTATTTTCCAATAATTCCATTCACCATTCCTTTCAGTTTTGTTGGAGCAAGCAATTGAAGTGAATTTGTCATGTGCTTGCTAAGAAACTGGGGACATCGGTGGAGCTTCCCTGGGGTGGCTGTTGGAATATTGTATGCTTAAAACAACTGTATTATGAATAACTTTGTATATCATGATGGGTGTGGGGAGCACCCACATGCTCCCTGCCTCCCCTCCCCTCTGGAGGGCTGGCACCCTGTCCACTGTGAGATTTTGTAAGTGAACATTCTCAGTTGCCCGCCCTCGTCCTCATACTTGAAGCATTTTTGACCTCATGCCATTTGACATTGCTGGCCACGTTCCTAACCATAGGAGAGCCTGGCAATTGTTGGAGTGCAGTATTACTCGAACTAGGTGGAAGTGACTGGTGGACACTTTGCAAAGGCCTCCTGCTCCCTCCAGATGCCTTCCTGCCATGTCAAGGGGCCTGCATAGGAAGGGCTGGACTCCACTGTCGGGACCTTCACTGGAAAGGTCTTCCTGCTTCCTAGCTCCTGGCAGCTGTAGCTTCCCTGTGTGATCTGATGAGTGGGGAGGAGAGGCCCTCACAGCAGACACTTGTTTTCATTGGAGCCAGAGAGGCCAGGCCCAGTGTGGGCTGCGGAAATAAGCTAGTTTCCTTCCCCTGCTTCTAGTTGAGAGGTGCTCAAATTGGTGGTCCAAGGATCCAGCAGCACCCAAGGACTGTTAGAAATGCAAACAAGCTGCAGAGAGAAGTGGAGCACCCCAGGAAATGTGTGGCCTAAGCAGCTCTCCAGGCCACTCTGATGCCCACTCAAGTCTGATCACGACTGATTTAGAGACCAGCACAAGTACTATAGTTCCTTCCTGCCTTCAATCTAGGTGTGTGTGTGGGGGGGGAGGAGGGCGGGGGGAGGTCCTGTGATTCCTTGAGGCTGGCAGCCAGGGAACCTGAGCCCCTTCAGGAATAGCCACAGTCCCAGTCCCAGTGTATGTGTGTCTGTTTGGCAGGTGCCTCTCCATTGGAGTCCAGTGTCTGCTCCCCAGGTCTAACTCAGCACCCCACACTGGCACATTCAACATCGGAGCTGGGAAATTCCTTACTGAGAGCTGTCTCGTGGATGGTAGCGTTGAGCACCATTTCTGTTCGCTGGTCACTGTGTACCTAACGTGCCCCTCAGCCACATCAATATGTAACTCTTGAACTGCCTCCTGAGCACTGCTGGTCCAGAGGGAGTGACCACCCAGGAGAGTTGTTCACGGGAATCTGTTCTCAGAACAGGCAGTGGAGAAGTTGGGGTGTAATGGGAAGGAACATGGGGTTGGGGGGGCACGGAGGTTCCAATCTTTGCTTCCCATCCACCAGCCATCAACTTCTCTCCCAATCTTCTCTTCACTCCTTGTCTTCCCTGAACCCCCTAAATCACTCACCCACAAACAATTATTTTCATAAATGACTTTTACTTCTTTATCATTTCTCTTGACAGTATTTTGGCAATGCGCATAGAACAGGAAGGCAAGCACAACTTTCAGAAGCCATCCAAGATAGGGTTCTCTTACTCTCGTTTTCTCAAACCATTAAAATATTTTCATTTATAAAAATTAATCTAAATATAAATATTGACACTGAAGATCAAAATCACCTGGTGACAAAATAATTGTTCTGGAACTCTAACATATGCTTATGGTTTTTAATAGTAAATTAAATCTTTACACTTATTTGGCACAAGGAGACCTTTATAAAAATTCAAATGCCAGAGAGCAGGCTACTGCTTTTGTTTTTTCATTTTTTTTCTTTTTTTTTTTGCAAGGCTTACACAGTACACACTTTTGTTGTCGTTGTTGAAGAAAATTGAATATTTTAACACCATAACACAACAATAGTTGCTTTTCATGCCTCTTAAAGAAAAACATTCTGTTTGGAACTCAGGTTTTGTTGTGTTTTAAACAATTTGTATTGGTTTGCTTGGAACCACACCAACGGAACAAAAAAGCCAAAGTTGATTTCAAAGAAATCATTTCTGTTGGAGAACACATACACAGCGTCAGCAAGGAGCATTAGTGGAAGATAGACAGACCCCCATCGGGAATACACCATCAAACACATCCCAGCAGTGGATTAGGCCTGGAAATGTGCAGAGCAGCAAAGGAAGTAGAAGCTGAGAACAACAGAGCAAGGCATTTGAGAAACCTTCCAGTTATGCGTGGCTGACAGGCCCAGCTTTGGTAAATGAATCTCTCAGGCCCTCAGTTTCCAAATCTCAGTAATGGGGACTACCTCAACTGAACAGAGTTGCCAAAGCAACAGATTAAATTGAGAAGAGGTTTGCCTCCGGTTGAGTGCTCACCTAATAAACCTCAGTCATACTTCCCCCTCACCTCCCACCGCTTGCTTCCTTCCTCTGATTCAGAATGTATTAGGAACAAGTATAAAAAGATTGCTATGGCTCAACTGGGTGAAGTTTCCATTCCATTTGCTTCTTATAAACACACTCTAAATAGTCATGCATTTGAGCCCACAAATGAGAGTCAGATTAGCCCACATGTGAGAGTTAGTATCAGTTCTGGTGTCCACTGATTTCAGTTTGTCTTGCCTTAAAAAAAATACCTGTAAGATTTTTAACGATTTTTTAAAAAAGATTATCCCTTAATTGTTTTTACATTTCAGATCATTATACTATGTTCACTGAATATTTATTAGCAAATAAGTTTTGAAGGAGGACATTTTCTCCTGTGGTTATAGTCTGCAATAGCCGGTTACCTAAGACTCATTTTGATGTGGTCATTGTTAAACTATTTTATCTGGAGTTTGGACAGTGCCCTAGAGTGAAACCGGGGGTGGGCTTTCTCAAGCCCCACTTCCCTCTGGAGAGGGAAATTGTTAGTCCAAGGAAGAATCCTAAATTCTCAACGAGACATTGTTTCCGATAGAGCTGGGCATGGGTTGGCTGGGCTGTGAAGGCAAAGCAATGGTGTTTAGGATGACTGGTGGTATGGTGCTTAGCAGAAAGGAGGTGGCTGAAGGGAGATCAGCATCCCCAGTGGCTGAGCACACCCCCAAACTAGGCAGTCGTAGGTAGCTCACTATAGGGATGGCAATCACTTCTAGCTCACCACCCCATCTGTGAAACAAAGATGCTCATGAGAGGTTCACAAGAACTGAAGATAAATGCTATGGTTATACCCATCTCCCTTCTGTCTACCATGCACTCACTCAACAGTTTTCTTTTGGACAAACTTTGACAATTAATTCTAGTTGAATCAAAGGGACTAAAAAAAAAAAAGTTCCTCAAGACCACATGTGGTAGGATAGGGGATGGGGAAATGCATCTTTTGAACATGGAGCTCTTCAGTGGGAAGGCAGCGTCTGCGTTTTCTGTCTTGGTTCCCCCGGGAGCCCGAGGCAGAGAGTGGGTCAGACCACAATGCTGGAGTCTGGACTGCTTTCTGGGTGAGGTATCAGGACAGCCCTGTGCAACGGTGCACTGTGGCCTCCCCAGGCCCTCTCCTTAGGTGGAAATCCATGCACTATTCGATGGCTGTTGGGTCAAGGCACTGTCGTGTACGGCTGGAGGCAGTGGGTCACTGGCAATGGAGTTCCATGGCACTAATACATCACAGCCGACTCCTGGGAGGGATCCTGAGAAGATACAAGGGCACCATGGTCAGCCACTTGGAAAAAATGGAAAGCAGCAATTGAAAAAGTCTATTCTGTTTTGGTTTGTTTTCTGGCCCACAGTTGACCATTTCAGAGCTTACTCCTGGCTCTGTGTTACTTAGTCCTGGTCAGAGGTTCCTCCTGGTGCTCGGGGTGGGGAAGGAACCTAGGTCTGTTGTGAGCAAGCCAAGTGCTCAACCTGCTGTACTATTTCTCTTAGCTCCTCTACTCTTTTTTATATTATGAAAGGTATTCTCATTGTTGGGCTGGAGCGATAGCACAGCGGTAGGGCGTTTGCCTTGCACACAGCCAACATGGCTGACCCGAGTTCGATTCCTCCACCCCTCTCGGAGAGCCTGGCAAGCTACTGAGAATATCTCGCCCACATGGCAGAGCCTGGCAAGCTACCCGTGATGTATTCGATATGCCAAACACAGTAACAACAAAGTCTCCAATGGAGACGTTACTGGGCCTGCTCGAGCAAATCGATGAACAACAGGAGGACAGTGTCAGTGTTATTCTCATTATTAGTTCTTTCACAATATTTAAGAAGTGATACACTATTATTTTTAAACATATACTACTTTTCTTCTTTGGGGGGCTACATGCAGTAGTGGTCAGAGGTTGCTCTTGACGCCACTTAAAGGGGTTGCTTCCAGTGGTGGTCAGAGAACTATGCAGTGCCCGGGGTCAACCTGAATCTCTTACACACAAAGTAGGTGCTACATAGTCTGTTGCAGTAGCTGTTCAGTCATATATATTTCTTAATCCATCTGAAACTTAATTTTGTATGCAGAATAAAGCAAGTTTGCAACCACTCCTTTGCTCAACTTGGTCAATTCCCTTAGCATAGTTTAAAAATTTAAAATATATATCTCCTCTTCTATTCCCAATGCTTAACATAAAGCATACTTTACATGCATCTGTATCTATTTTTTGAGCTTTGTACTGTATTCCACTAACTTTTTTTAAAAAACAGGTTTGATTTTGTTTTAAAATTCTATAGGACAGTCACGTGAATTCTGCAAAATTTTTTTGCCTACTTCTCTTGATCCATCTGTCTCTTCATTCCTTTCCTTTCTTCCTTCAGCTGGGATCAATCCAGGCCTCTCACATGCAAGATACTCACTTTACCACCGAATCACACCCCTGGTTTTTTATCCTTTTTCTTTTTTTTTTGGTGTGTTCTGGGCAATCAAACCTAGGGCTTCATACATGCAAGGCATGTACTCTGAGCTACATTCCCAGCTTCTGATTTATTCTTAAATTAACTTTAGTTCAAAAGAAAAGCGCATTAAATTATACGAGAATAAGACTAAGCTATAAATCAATTCGGAATAAAAGACTTTTCTTACTGAACTATTGATGTGATTTACTAATCAATATCTCCACATTAAAGGTACCTACATTCCTCTAGAATTTTCTGGGAATTTATTATTTAATGTGCAGCTGCACATAATTTGCTAGCACTTTATTTAGTTTGTTTCATCTCTCAAGAAGTGCTGTTGGGATATGGTTTATATTTGTAGGTTTATATAGTTACAGGTCACGGTCAGGCTTTGGCAGTTGACTTTAGAAAGACTTCAAAACATGAATCTTTTGGTTTTCAATTGCTTTAATGATCTGGAAATATTTTATATTATTTCAGGGGCAGTACTTCTTAAAAATTTATCAATAAAATCATTTGGCCATAGCCTCTTTACTGAAAGTCTAATCAATTAAACATTTATATTCCTTGTGAGTTCATACTAATTCTGATTTGACTCTGATTAGAATTAAGACTTTAGATTCATTAGCATAGATTTAAATTACACTGCATATTTCAATATAAATTTACATCTCTATTATAATCTTTATATTATATTTTTTATAATTATAATTATATTGTTTTTTTTGACTTACACAAATTTTTCTATTTTTCCAAAGAGTAAACTTTTAGATTTATAATAACTTCTTTTGTTTACTGGCATTAATTAGTTGGTTTCTGCATTTATCTTTGTGTTTTGGTTTTGTGGTAACACCTAGTTGTGCTTAGTGTTCAAGGATTACTCCTGGTGGTACTCAGTGACCACATGCAGTGCAAGGGATTAAACCCCGGCTGGCTGTGTGCAAGGCAAGTGCCGGACTCACTCATTTTTGGGAGTTTCAGAAGGTAGTTTGATTCCTTCTACTTTGGGAAATTTATTGAAGCTTCCTTTGTAGCTGGTATGAAATCTATTTCTGTGAATGTCTCATTCATGCTTGGAAAGAAACTGAGTTATTAGTGAAGTACAGAGTTAGATAAAAACCTTTTCTATCTTAATAATTATACTACACAATTTATATAATTTATATTTATTCTGGTACAACTGGTTTACCAAGGGTTCAGAGGAAATTTTAAAATCACCAACAATGTCATAATAAATTATATTGCTCTATTGCTACCTAATAAATGTTCATAACTTACCTCCTTCGCTTTATGAAACTAAAATGTCTTCCTTATTTTCTCTTAGAGCTTCTTGTTTTAAATGCTATTTAATTTGAAAAAAAAAAACCCAACCCAATCATTTCTTTCTTGCTTGCAAGTTCCATTCTTTCATCGTTAAACTCTATGTTACTCATAGTAATTTATTAAAAAGGTAATTTATCATAATAGAGATATAAATTTAGGTGTTATTCACATAAGGAAAAATTAATCATTTGAAAGTGACTATTCATTGGATTTGACAAATTCACAATGTGGTGCAATTATGTCGTATATATGTGAAAACCATATAGTTTGGGAACATTCTATCACTATAAAATCAAATATCTTGGGGCTGGAGAGAGAGAATAGGGGTCAAGATGCTTGCCTGTGCACATAGCAGACACTCGTTTGAATCCCTGGTACTACATATAGTTACCAAAGCTGCCAGGAGTGATTCTTAAGCACAGAGTCAGAAGCCCTGAGCATCTCCAGATGTGGCCCAAACAAAGATTAAATAAAATAAAATCTCTTATCCACAAGGAAGCTTCTTCTAGCTCCTTCCTTCAACCACTAACTTACTTTCTATGTCAAATGTACATACATATAAACTTGGTTTTTGGGTCACATCCAGTTATGCTTAGGGCTCACTCCTGGCTCTGTGCTCAGGAGTCCCTCCTGATAGGGCACTAAATGGGGTGCCGAGGATTGAACCTGGGTCAGCTGCATGCAAGGCAAGTGCCTTACTCATTGTAAAAGCCCTGAAAGATAATTTTTAACTATCTGTTTTATAAAAGATTCCCATACTCAGTCCTCTGTGTCTATTCTCTCAGTGTGATGATGCTTTTATTTTCACTTTGAAGTAAACCACAGGACAAGGTCACAGACTTGGGTCATGGGCAAAATACTTGGGTGAATGGTAAAAGTTATGGCCAACTTATAGAGAAAGGCAATGATAGTCTTGTTGCCATTTTGGTGCCTAAGAGACAGAATTTAGTGATTCAAAAGGGAATGCCCACAGTGATTTCGGTCCCTGATGCTCCTGTGCTCTTGAGACAGACACAGTGAGGGAGAGGCAGGGTAAAGGAGTGACAGTGATCATGACAGGCCACTGGGCCTTTGCTTCTGTTTTCAGGCAGACATTGTGGCATCACAAGGCAATTTGGTTGCAGTACAAGCAGCATCATGTCCTGGATAAACTGAAGCCTGTGTTGGTGTCCAGGAAAATCATCCATGGCCCTCTCCTGTGAGTGCCTGAGTTTGTCCAGTTATCTACCATTTCTTCCTCTGAAATATTTAGGGCTAGCTACTGACTTTATCTCTGCACAGAAATGAAAGTAGTTAATGGCCAATCAGAAATGTAAGGAAGGGTGAATCTGGACCCAAAACAGAATCAAAACTTGTCCCTCAACAAGATGCTTTACTCCTATGAATGTATTTTTTTTAAATTTCTGTTATACAAAACCTGGTTCCTTTGAGGAACTAGAGACAGAGATGAGAGGAAGTTTCCATGTATCAAAGGGGTTAGCTATGCCAGGTGGGATGTTCATCCCCTCTCTTAGACTTCTTCTTCACAATAAGCAGCCCCTGAGACTATGCAGGATGGAGGCTTCTGGGGCTTTGATTGTGGAGCTCGGGGAAGAAGGGTGACAGGATGGAGGTGCCCTCAAAAGTGAGGGTGCTCAGCATGAAGCTGCAGATGCCATTTACCATCAAATCCGAGGTGGTTTTCCTTTCTTGAGTTCTGTTTGTTGAGGAGCCTTGGAGAATGAAGTTGCGGTTGAATGTTTTAATGTTCAGTGAAGAGGCCTCGCTGTTCTCAGCTAAAAAGAAACAAATGGAAAGAAGTGTTCTTTAAAAACTGAAGAGATTGTTAAGAAAGAAATACCCAGTGTCCAGATTACATAGATTTATGTTTTTTACTTGGCATCTCTTTCCAAGCTATAAGTCCAATTATGGAATCTTTCAATTTTGCGTTTATTTTATAATGACTCATAAGTCAAGGACTTACTGGCGCCTTTCTGGGAACAGGTAGTCTGGAGTTTATCCACTAAAATCTCTATATTCTTATTTTTTTAATTTTGAAACATGAAAGTCTCTAAAGGCTGAACATTTTTAATAACTTGGGAACCAAAATGATAGCAAATCTGGACTCAACCTGACATGTGACCACCCCATTGAGTGGGAACATTCTTATTCTTCACTGCCAGGATATTAATGTGTTTATCAGATGCTTCCCTAGATACTTTTGGGAAGGGCTTTTATGAAATAAGTAGTACACTCATCAAAATTACCTGTCTGACAGTCAAGAAATTCTGAAAAGCACATGGATCTTTAGTTTAAAATAAGGGATTGTGAGTCTAAAATCAACTTTAATTATATAAAGTGTTATGGAGGGATTCAATAAAAGTTGAACAACAGGGGGCTGGAGAAATAGTATAGTGGGTAGGGCTCGTGCCTTGCACATGGCCAATAGGGGTCTTGTACCCCATGTGGTCCCCTGAGATTGCCAGGAGTGATTCCCAAGTACAAAACCAGGAGTAAACCTTGAGCACCACCGGGTGTAGCCCCCAAAACCAAAAACAACAACAACAAAAGTTGAACAACAAGTAGTAGAACCATGACTCCAGTATACTGATTCTGACTATTCTCTGTTCCTTTTTGCTTCTTTGTGTTCTTTGTGTGTATGTGTATGTGTATGTGTCTGTGTGTCTGTGTGTCTGTATGTACCTTAGATAGGACCACATGTTGTGGTATTCTAGGGCTACTCCTAGCAATCCTGGCTCTGTTCTGGGGTGTCACTTTTGATAATGCTCTGGGGTCCATCTCTTAGCCCCACCATTTCCACTCTTATAATCTATAAATTTAAAATTTCTATCTGGCATCATTGCTATGAAGCTCTCGGATCCAGGGAAACTGTTGAAAATGCTAGTAGATAAGAGTGATATAATGGTCGTTGCTGGCATTCCTTCTAGGTTGGACATTGTGTTAGATATCTCTTGTGCCCTCCCCACATTCCACTGGCAGTCCCTATTCCATTATAATCTTAAAGCCTCCTACTGCACCATCACTCTTCCCCAACAGATCTAAAGTACCAGGGATCAACCTTTGCCACTGATGAATGGAAGTTGAAATACCTCATCTTTCTATATTTGGAGCAGGAAACTAAGAGAAGTATGGTTAACACTGTCTTCCAGAAGCCTTCATCAGTGTTTAGCCTAAGAAATGAATCAGTACCCTGTACTGGCTTAATTTCCCTCCCAGAATTATTTTCCCTTGCCAGTGCTTTGTGAAATCATCTCTCAACTATCTGCTTGCACTTCCTTTTCCTTGGGTGCTGCTATTTGGTGGTGGTGGTGGTATTTAAGCAAAAAAAAAAAAAGACTCTCTATAAAGCACAATTCTGGGTAAGAATCCCCCTTACATTGGTCCTCCATCATAGATCCTTGAGTTACTCGAAACCAAGGAGTCAGTCTTACTTTTCTGGGAGCTCTGGGGTTTTTGTTAGTTATACCTTTCACTGGTGGGGCAGGCAGTTTTCTTCTCTGCTGCCGTGATGTGTCTATGGTTTGTACCTACGACAAAAACATGGCAGTCAACACACCTTCACAAAGCCAATACTTTTGTATCTTCTGCCTTGTGCGAGCCATACAGTATTCTGGCAGAGGGAGGGAAGGGCACTGGCACGCACCTGGTTCCTTTGCTTCTGATCTCGTCTTCTCGTGAGGCGTCCGCATGGTGCTATGTTCAATCCTGCAATGGTCAGGGCTGATATCCGGCTTTCAATGTCAGAAATCTTCAGGTAAAAGAAAGAACACCAGAAGAAAAGGAAAAGGAAAAAGAAAGGAGAGTCTTTGTTAAAAGTGTTATGAGGGATTGGTGATAATACAGGTGCCAGCCTTTGTTCCATCCCTGGTACCACATATGGTTCCCTGAGCACTGCCAGGAGTATTCCCTGACAACAGAACCATGAGTTCTGAGGATAGCTGGGTGTGTCTCTCCACCCCCGCAACAAAATAAAAGTGTTATGAGGGACCAGAGAGACACTGGTCTCTCTGGGGTAAGGGGTATGCCTTACATGTGCCCAAATTGGGTTTGATTCCTGATACTATATTACCTCCCTGAACATGACCAGGTATGGGCTCTTGAGCAAGCCAGGTGACCTGTGTAATCCCCAGCATTACAGGGCCCATGCAGCAATGATTTCTCTGGCCAACACATGAAACCTTCAGCCTGTTTGCCTGAGAATCATCTGAAGGGTGAATCTGAACCTCTTAAGCACATGGATGGCCCCACACAAGTCCTAAAAATCTATTAAAAACAAATCTTCTTTTATAATATGCTCATTCATTCAAATTCTACCAAGCAGTTCTCTACATAGTGAGAAAATGAAACAAGGGCCTTTCTCTATAATTGCATATTTTTTTAAAATGTAGGAGTACTGCCATTTATTCAGCTATTGATTAAGCTGATTGAACTGGGCATGGATTCCACAACTGCATGTTTTTTGTTATTGTTATTGTTGTTTTGGGGTCACGCCTGGCAATGCTTAGGGGTTACTTCTGGCTCTGCACTCAGGAACCACTCATGGAGGTGCTTAGGGGACTATATGGATGCCAGAGATCAAACCCAGGTCAGCCAAGTGCAAGGCAAGCAGCCTACCCACTGTATTATCTCTACAGCTTTGTAAATGCACATTTTTTGGGACAGGATTGTAAAATTTTATTTTATTTTATTGCTCGAGGTCCTCCCGTTGATCATCGATTTGCTCGAGCGGGCCCAGTAACGTCTCCATTGGAGACTTTGTTGTTACTGTGTCTGGCATATTGAATACTCTCGGTAGCTTGCTGGGCTCTCCGAGAGGGGCGGAGGAATCGAACTCGGGTCGGCCATGTTGGCTGCATGCAAGGCAAATGCCCTACCGCTGTGCTATCACTCCGAAACACCATGAGGTAGTCTGTAAATGCACATTTTTGATTGTTAGCTTTAGAGTATATCAGCGCCCAGATACAATGCCCCAGGATAAACGGTTGCTCTAGAAACCCTGGTCCAGAGACACCTGATTTAGCCTGGAGGGGAAAAGCTTTCCTTGGAGCAACACTTGATGTATGCTTTGAAAGGCAAGAAGCACCATTAATAGGTTCTGTTTCCTTTCTCCCTGGCACAATGACTCCAAAATAACAGCATCATAGCTTTTAAGTTTTAGTAGGGAGGTCTAGCATCTGCTGCTGATTCAAATCCATTGCCTCTATGCAGAAGTCAAGAATGGGCTTGAGAAACTTCTTTCTCTCTCTGGATATTACTTTCCTTGTTCATAAAGCCAGAAGTTCATAATTCCATCCAATAGCATCTCACACAGATAAGAGAGCAAAGGGCATCTCAGAGCCCAGGTTGAACTCTGGTCCTCTGAGTCTCAGGGATGGAGAAGAAACACAATCTTAGAAAATAGAACTATGATGTGCCATCATTATAGGAAATACTTTAATGTGAGACCTTATTCATGCTTCAGGAACTCATCCAGAAGCCTACAGCAGAGGCACCATTCTCTTGGTTTTAATAGTTAAGGAAACCATGGCTCCGGAGCATGAGTGATATACATAGAAATTCACAGCTGGTCTGGGCCAGAGTATGGACTCACTTTCATGCTCTCACCACATGGCCCCATTCACAGAGGACTTGCCCATTGGGCCCTGGGGCAAGGAATTCCAGTAGCAAGGGGACACTGGAATTGTGGGGGAGGAGGGAAGCTTGGTAGAGTCAGTAAAAGGGTGCAGAGCACAGGTATCCCCCTGAGATGACAGCCTGGGTGTTACAAAGGCATCACACAGGGAACCTAAGAGTAAGCCCTACAGGCAATGTGTGTAAAGTTCCAACATCACTATTGCCCCATGATCAACTATGGTGCCACTCAAGGTCCAATGCAGTTCTGCTATGATTTACAGAGTCTCCTTTGGCCTATTGAGGAGGTGCTAACAGATGTAGAGGGAAGTCAGAAAATATGAGAGCCTCTTCCCTTCTCTCCCAGAGGTGGCAGACTGGGATAGACAAGAAGGAGTAGGTAGTTGAAGGCCAAGGTTGTGGCAGCTGGAGCAAGCAAGCCAGTTCAGCTAACCAGCAGTCAGCCCTCACAAGGAACAATTGTGCAGCCCCTGTCCCTGCCTGGTACCCCTAGCAACTTTCCTTTTCTGCTTCCTCAAATTTTACATGGAGAGTTTCATTTCTCTGTTTTATAGGCTGATAAATTGCATGCGTCTCTCAGGAAGACTGCAGGCTAAACTTATCAGTTATGTACAACTGGTGTGGATTAGATGACCACATACTTTCCTGGTAGCAGTTCTGGTGGAGAACTTCACTGGGAGGCTGCTGGGGGACAGGTCAATGGACAAGTTGGAGGTCAACATCCTGATGTGCTGCCTGACAAATTGTGGAACAAGAAGGGGCTAGTTTTTCAAGTTTTAGTCCATAGAGGAAAAGACAAGAAAGGAGTCTACTGAAGGCTGATTTAGCCTATATTTTCCTATCTCTCTCTCCCTCAATATATATATATACACACATATATTTATACATATATATATATACCTACCTATCTATAGAATATCTATCTATATCTATTTTCTATCTATAAAAAGATCTATCTATATCATTTTCTATTACATCTAGATAGATCTTTATAGATTTATATATAGATCTATCTATATTCTATCTCTTTCTATATCTATTTTTATCTATCCTTTCAATAGATAGAGATGAAGGATCTATATATCTATCTATATCTATCTATATCTCTTTCTGTCTATATCTATCCATTTCTTTCTATACCTATCATATTTATATCTATCTATCTATACTTTTTATCCTTTCTATTTATCTGACTAAGCTTCATTTCACTCCTAAGACTGCATGTTCAGTGATCCTTAATTGTAGAACAGAATGACCAATTCAGTTCTGCGTTTCCCACGGCAGAGAGCAAAGAGATAAGTGGAGGATTCTAGCCAAAAGATAAAGAATAAGTAGTCAGAAGAAAGGCTTTTCCTCACACTAATAGATGAGAGACTTTCTTTAAGTTTGCCCCGAGCAGCCTGAGAGATGTGGACAAGGCATTTGCCTTGCCTGTGGTTGACCTGAATTCAATCCTCAGCACCACATACGGTCTCTTGAGCCCCACCAGGAGTGATCCCTGAGTCCAGAGCCAGGAGTAAGCCCTGAGTGTTGGGTGTGGCCAAAGTAACTGTTAATTCAAATCACCATGTGGGGAACATTGGTTACACACATGCATTGGAAGTAGTGGGAGCAGATGCAAATGATTCTGGGAAAGTAGGGTTCTGCTCCCCCCCAACCCCTCTACTCTGGGCAGAGAGGAAAGTTCCTACCTGGAGCTCAGCATGGTGGACCTGGGCTGCTGCTGTGGCCACCTGATCCTCCAGATGTGCCAGCTCAGTCTCATCAGTGGTGCTGTGGATGCAGCGGGCAGCGGCCTCCAGCTCACTCAGCTGACCTTCCAGACCATACACGGTGCCTGCGGCCAGGTACACCTGTAGAGGAGGCAGGACCTTCAAGCTCCAGTCTGTGACATTAGTCAGGGGCTGGGGAGGTGACCCCAGTAATTTAGGGAGATGAGACAGAACTAGGCTCAACATTGGAAAGTCTTATTAGCCCCTGCCCCTGCCTGGCACCCACTCACTGTCTACCAAGATTTTTCTATGGCTCCCCCATCACCAACTTCCCTACAGGAAAAGAAATTTGCATGTTTTTAAAATACAAGCAAGGGGCTGAAGGAATGGTACAGTAGGGATGGCATTTGCATTGTACGTGACTAACCCGGGTTCAATCTCCGACATCCCAGATGGTCCCTTGAGCACCGCCAGGAGTAATTCCTGAGTGCAGAGCTAGGAGTAACCCTAATGTATTGCTGCAAGTGATACAAAAAGCCAAAACAAATGCAAGCAGTCATTATGAAATATGTGAGCTTAGCTACATAAATTGAAAATTTATTCAGTGGCTAGGAAAACTATAACATCAAGAGAGAAGAAACAACGAGGAAAACCTCATGAGTTTTTGCTTGACATTTAAAAATTGAGAAAAATTTAGAAAGCACTGAAAGGAGTGAAATTAATTTTTAAGTTTATAAATGTTAAATGAATGAGTTCTGATCAGTTACCTTCAGCTGGTTTGAAACAGGCCAAAGGAAACTAAAGTGAATCTGAAGTTAGTAGAAAGAGTTGATTACTTTAGAAAACAGTGTGATGACAATCGAGAAGCATGTTAAGTCTATCAATTAGGACCAGTTTTTTTGAGTGCTGTTAACATTTAAGCAGAAAATCAGATGAAGGTGTCATTTAAGGAAAATTTAAAGAAAAATTACTTTGGCTACGTGTTGATAAGATAATTTCCATAAACAAAGGCAAGCAGGAAGTAAAATTGCTTGTATCATTCAGACTCCAGTTTGCTGAACAGGGTGGATGAAACAAATGATTATTAGGCTAATCAACAATGTGATAAAATAAGTAACACCAAAAAAAAAATGCTGTATCCAAAAGGCAATTTACTTAAGGAGATATTTCTGAGGCTCAATCAATGTACTTATAAAGCTGTAAACTGGCATTCACAGCAATTTAGAGTTGAATCAAATACACTGTCAGTTATTTAACAGTTCCTTTAACTGGTTAAAAATACAACCGTCAGGCAAGCCAAGAGCCTGTGCACACAGGCCTGCGTGTTGTTCATAGTGAGTGACGTTGAGAGCTGGGGAGGAAGGGAAAGATCCCGGAGATGCTCCGACTCTGTCAATTCCTTGGCTTGATTCATGAATCTGCATTCAATCTGGCGATTTTACAAAAGGATTTCAAAGTGGAGCACAGACAGGTGCGGGTTAGCTGAAAGCAGGTTCGAGAGTACATCACCCAGTGAGCTGGGCTGGGCGGGTTCCAGCAATGACGGACCCAGTGGCGGTGCAGCGTCGCACTGACTGATCTGTCAGTCTCACTGGGCGCCACGAATCGTGTGTCTGTGGGCAGCTGCCATATTTCACTTTGACCTTAGTTTCCCCTTTCCTAACAACTGGCGAGTGTTAGGGAATGTCTGTTTCTCTAAAGGACCCTCTGTTTCATACAGCCACTTGTTCTCTGGTTCTCGGAAGAGGGAAGCTTTTCTTCTCTGTCCTAGAAAGCACATGATGGGTATTTAAAAGCTCTCAGGTTGGAGGCATCATGAAAAAAGTTGACTCTTGAAAGTTTTGAAATAAAACATCTCTCCAGAGGAATTGAGGAGCAACAGGGGAGAGGAGGAGAGGGAAGAGTGAGAAAAGAAGGTCTGAGAGTCTTGAGTTTGGCTACCTCACTTTGGCTAACCATATCTCAGAAAGGCATATTTATTGTGACACAATCGTTTTTTTTTCTTTGCACAGACTGGTGGTTTTTAACTTCTTTTTATTTTTTACCTTCTCTTATTGGCTTTTAAAAATATTGAATCACAGTGAGATACACAGTTACAACATTGTTCATGACTGGGTTTCTGTCATACAATGTTCAAACTCCCATCCCTTCACCAGTGCACATCTCAAACCACCAATGTCCCCAGTTTCCCTCCCATCCACCCACCCCCACCTGCCTCTATGTTCTATGGCAAGCTCTCTCTCTCTCTCTCTCTCTCTCTCTCTCTCTTCCCCTTCCCCCACCTCCCATGGACAAGATACTTTTAAACATAAACTTTCAGTTTTGCACACTAAAACAAAACTTTGAGAGCGGTGATGCTTAAACAGAACTTGGTATAATTTCTGTTTTAGAGCCTTGATTTTTCCGGTAACCATCAAATTTCAGTTTGAGTTTGGCTACCTTATACCCTCATACCCTATAGCTGGATTAATAACACCTCCATGTTAGGTCTTCAACATGTTAACTGATAATATTCCTGGTTATCTCTGCCCCTTTGCCCAACCAGAGCAATAGGAAAGGGCTTCAAGCCCTCTGCAAGGTCAGCATGTCAGTCTTTTGCACTCTGTTACCTGAAAGCTGGTTTTCTGGTACAGGGGCAAGGGGAACCAGTAATTTGGAACTGACGCCATCCACATCAGAACTTATAGCCAAAATCATTTTGCCTAAAGGACTGGAGGTGACAACAATGCTGCTGACTGATGATGATGTCATGTTTGTATTGAGCCAGGCATCAAGTCAAAAGTTTTATGTGACAAATATTATTTAATGTCCCTGGAAATCCATGAGTGAGTTGCTATAATAATCTCTGTGTTAAAGATGAAAACTTAGGTCCAAGGGGTGCAATGACCTCTCCTACACGCATTGCTGGGCATCTCAGAGCCTGTATTTGTGCCTGGAAGGGCTGATTCCAGATCCAGGGCTTTACCCATCTGGCCATATGGTGCTGTGACATTTAATGTCTTTGGGTGTATTTTGACGTGTTACATTTCAAACTCTTATATTGAGTTACCGTGTGTGTAGATAAATTGGCTATGACACTGAGATAAATAGCAAACGTTAATATGTTAATATGCTGTGCTGTGAAAATCTTCTGGTCTTTAAAATATCCCATTTGAAAATTTTAGGGCTGGAGTTAGGAAGCTTGCCTTGTGTATGGCTAACCCTAGCTTGAATCTTCTGCACTGCATATGGTCTTCCAAGCACTGTCTGAGTGATTGGAAGTGATCTCTGAGCACAGAGTTAGGAGTAGCCCCTGAACACTGCTGGGTATGAGTCAGGAATAGTCCCTGAACACAGCCCCCTCCACCTCCCAGAAACAAAAAGGGAGCAAAAATTTAACCTGCATTCCCCTTGCTCAGTTAATGTGTGCTTTGGGCAAGAACTGGGGTCACCTTGTCCTCCAAACTAGAATCAATGGTGCCCATGATTCCTGGCTCCACCAGCCCTTTCTCAAAGTGGTTTGAATGAGAAGAACATGAGTTTCACTAGGGAGGGACTCTGTAGCTCAATCTTCCTAGAATAAGTAACATTTAACAGATTTCTTTACTGAAGGAGTTCTCAGTCTGTTATGTGCCAACACATACCTCATTTTTTTTTTTAACAGAAATGCATGTAGGTTTCTCAAACTTAGATCTGAGTTTAGAACATCTGTTGAACTGGGTTTTCATAAAATACACTTTACGAGACTTAGGTATTAACTGGTGTCATTTCTTTTCGTACTCTCTAAGGCAAGGGCCCACTTAAGTTAATGACCATCTCCACAACTTCGTGCACCACATCTTTTCCTGAGTGGCTGTGGGAGCTCAGATGAGAGCTTTGAGAACGGGGGAGCACATCTCTGCCTGGTGCTGGCTTCTGGAGCATGGTTGGGCTCCCTGTTGGGAAAGGTGCCTCCCCCACCCCAGCCCTTACCCCTCATCTGCTGCCACTGGCTGTAGGCTACATGGACAATGTACTTCATGCTGTTGAGAGTCATAAGGCAGAACTAAAAGGGAAGTTAGGACTGGCCCTCTGCTGCCCCTGTGGCTTGGAATTGTGGTATCTCCCCAGCTACCTCTGCAAAGATTTTGTGAAGAGGAGAATGAAAAAGGACCGCGGGAGGGGGAAAGAGGGTAAAGGAGCTGACTCGTCCCTCCAGCTCACAACACTGCACCCTTTAGAGTCCCTGCAAGTCAAATAAATCACAGATCTGAGGATTATTTTCATTTTTTTAGTTAATTGTTCTCTGTTGACCTCTAGGTCTATATCTACTCTTCTCTGCCCTGCTCTCTTCTTCTTGAAGCCACTCCCATGACTTCATTGCCCAGCAAAGAGAAGGAAACCAGGAGAGTGCCTTCCAGGGAGCTGTTCTTGGGGGAGGGGGTGAGGGAAGTGCGCTGGTGACACATCGCTCCCACTAGGGGGCGCTCTTCCAGGTTCCAGGTCACCCTGGGCTTCCCTGCAGTAACAGGGTGATGATGATGTTCACTCCCCTCTGGTTGCCACATCCTCCTTTATCCTTGTCCGCACCCTTCCTGAAACTCTCTTCCCCCAGTCAGACCTCAGCAGGGATAGCAGAAATCAACCTGCACAGGTGTCAGCAAGACAGAGAGACATAGACCTGCATTTGGAGAGACTCAGGCACTGTGGAGGTCACTTCCCTGTGTGGGCAGGGCAGGCACTGATGGGACCAGGTGCCTCCTTCCTGCCTTTAGAGAAACGGCCGCTGATTTCCCAATGCTACTGCTGGGCACAAAGCTGAGCGAGGAAAAGAATCAATTCTATGATTCCCCACACCCTACCCACATTCTGTGGATTCACAAGGCAGTTTATGAAAACCGGGAGTCAACATTTGAATGACTTTATTTATTTATTTATTCATCTTAGGGAGCGCTGGAGCCTTCAGAGCTATTTATAGAGGTGAACATTCACCAGCAAATATTCTCTCCAAGTCCTGATCTGTGGTCGCCTGTGTTCCGAAGGCTCGAGTAAGTGCCGCTGTTTCTATTTCTGACCGTCCCCGGGCTCTATAGCACAAAGGAGACAAGCGGCACAGGAATGAAGGAGTGCTCTTTAGAACCCAGACAGACAAAAAGCCACGGTTTAATTAAGCCAGCTGCACCCAGAGGCCAGTGTAAGAACCAGCCGGGCCCTTCTGCTGCTCCATTGAATTCCACCCTGAAAACGCGGGCACAGCAGCTGCCCAAGCGGCTGTGATCTGGCGAACTAAAGAGAGGAGGCAAAGAGTCATCCTGTCTCCAACTCAAAGAGCCACAGAATTCAAAGGGACACAGATGGAGTTTCTTCTTCTGAAGAGGAGAAATTTGAAAAGCTGGGAGTGGGGGGAGGAGAGGAGAGGGAGAGGAGGAGGAGGAGGAGGAGGAGGAGGAGAAGGAGAAGGAGGAGGAGGAGGAGGAGGAGGAAGGCTATTAACCCATTGGGAACAGGGGAGACAGGCGAGGTGAGAGGGACAGGAAATGTGACTCTGTCCTTTCACATGGGTCCCTGCTGAGGCTTCTCACTGAGGTGACAGAGTCACTTTCAGATATAAAACATACCTTGACAACAGTGTATGTCGCACATCACAGTAGTTACATCTGTCTGGCCAACAAACCAGGCCCTCCCTTGCATCTTGAATCCATGGGTGAGTGGATGTGTTCTTGAAGGGAAAGTGTTAATGAGCCCAAGAAAAGAAGCATGGCACCAGATCAGATAAAAGGAACTTACAAAATGGGAACATTGACAAGGCCTTTGCATTGTTCCACAAGCCCCCTGCATGAAGGAAACAGCAGTCTTTATTTTGCTTGAGCTGACCATTGTTATTTAAATCTGGATTATTTCATGCATTGGAAGTGTTTGGATACTACACTTTGTTTTTTAAATAAAAGGGTGGGGGGATAGGGTTGTAAGCCACAGTCTTGCTTGTGGCTGATCTTGGTTCAAATTCCCAGCACCCTATACGGTCCCCAGCATGGCCAGGCGTCACTTCTGAGCACAGAGCCAGGAACAGTTGCTGAGTATCTGGGTGTGGCCACCCCTAACCCCAAATTGGGGATGTGGAGAAGAAGGATCCCTCATTTACTGTTGGTGAGAAACTAAACTGGTTAACCTGTATGGGAAAAAGTATTGAGACTTCTAAAAAAAAATAAGTAGTACTATATGATCCAGCAATCCACTCCTAAGGACCTATCCAAAGAATATAAAAACACTAATTGAAAAAGATAGATGCACACTTGTGTTCACCGAAAAGCTATTTAGTGTCCAATCACGACAGGTAAGTACATAAAGAAGGTGTTAGGTATAGACAGTGGAATACTATTTGGCTATAGTAAAATATCAATTGGCCATTTGGTGTATAGACAGTGGAATAATATTTAGCTATAAGAAAATATGAAAGATTCTATCATTTGCTATGACATAGATAGGATCGGAGAGGGCCATGCCAAGTGAATTAAGTCAGAAGAATAGACAAGTATTATTAGATGATCTCACACATGTGTGGAATATAAAGAAACAAAGCAAGGGCACAGACAATATCCAGTGAGCATATGCCTTTAGAGTCTAGAACTCATGTGGCCATGGGGATTGAAGGGAGACTTGGCAGAAGGATTGAGTGGATGCCGAAGGAGGAATAGTGGCACTTGAGTGGTGGGTGTGGTGAGGTACTACTAAAACATTTATATTCTTGTTTATTTTGTTTTCTTTTTGTTTGTTTGTTTTTTGGATCACTCCCAAAATGATGCTCAGTGGCTACTCCTGGCTCCACACCCAGGAATTACTCCTGGCAGTACTCTGGGGACCATATGGGATGCTGGGGATGGAACCCGGGTTAGCTGTGTGCAAGGCAAGCATGGTACTATTATTACCTGCAATTATCACTATCACTCTATACTATCACTCTGACCCCTAAAATATTTACATTCTTACCTGGCCAATTTTTTTTAAATACCCCTTTCCTGGTAAACTATATCTTTCACATTTCCAATTTTGTGTGTCCAGTATTTAGGGCCACCTTAAGGCAACTGGTGCTGAAAGAAGTATTTAACCAACATTTAAGAACAGAAAACTACACATTAGAAGTAGAACATTTCTATAGAAAATGTCAAAATAAACAAATAAAATGAACATATTTCAATCAGCTTGTAATCATACATCAGACGAACATTCACTGGGCACCATCTCTGTGCCAGGTTCAGGAGGAAGGAATGGGGTTAGGGCACACGTGGCAACATCCCTGTTCTGCAGAGACTTATATACCTGGCTCCTGGTCCAGAGAGCATGACACTGTGTCTCCCCACACACCCTCCAACAGCCCACAATGACTAGAGGGCTTTTGATCAAAACTAGTAAGGTATTGCCACTGACCAGTGGGAAGAGACCAGGGATGCTGCTAAGATATCTTGCAAGATACAGGACCCCACCCCCTTCTCATCCCCATGAAGATGATTCATAACAAGTATCAAGGGTATGGATCTAATAGGTGATAGATGAGCAGAGAGAAAGAACAGAAAAGTGGTAACAGACACAGACTACAATTAGTTTCTTTAGGAATTCAAAGGCTGACTCTTATCTCTCTCTCTCTTTCTCTCTCCTCCCTCCTTCCCTCCCTCCCTCCCTCCCTCCCTCCCTCCCTCCCTCCCTCCCTCCCTCCCTCCCTCCCTCCCTTCCTTCCTTCCTTCCTTCCTTCCTTCCTTCCTTCCTTCCTTCCTTCCTTCCTTCCTTCCTTCCCGGCTTGAGGCCACACTTGGTAATACTCAGGGCTTACTCCTGGTTCTGCAATCAGGGATTACTCCTGGCAGGCTTGAAGTGGACCATATGGGGTACCAGGGATAGAACCCAGGTGGGCTGTGTGCAAGGCAAAAATCCTATCCTCTGTCCTATCTCTCTAGCCTCTGAATCTTAGTTTTTTTTCCACCTTGGCTTTCTAGGGCCACACCCAGCAGTGCTCAGGGTTACTTCTGGCTCTTCACTCATGAATTATTTCTGGCAGTGCTCGGGGGACCATATCGGATGCTGGAGATTGAACTGTGGTCAGCTGTGTGCAAGGCAAAAACCCTACCCGCTGTACTATTGCTCCGAGCCCTGAATCTTAACTTTTAAAGTGAGATAAATATTGGCATTTTAAAAATACCTTATTTGACATATACTCAGTTGTTCATGTACAGCCAGTGATGTGCATTGTGCATTCTCTCTCTCTCTCTCTCTCTCTCTCTCTCTGACTCTCCTTACATTTTTTTAAATAAAACATATTTACTTCAAACACAAAATAAATGAAAGTATCTCAAGTCATTTGGAGATGCTGTTGTTTTAACTTTTAGCAATAATGACTCCTAAGGCCTGTTTCTGATTTCTGATGGCAGCATTCATCACAGCACCCCCAAATCTGGACAGATTCAGCTGTGTCCAGAAAGACAGAACTTTTGGATAGGACCCCCTCTGACCTGAGCTCCTGGGCAGGTGAGGACAATATTGGCCTGACTGACTCCTGTGCACGTCGCTCTGTGTTGTCACTGACATTCACCTTTGGATCTTTACTGGCATAATCAGCAATGACCATGGATGTTCATATGTCAGAATCTATTCTACTCGACTAGCCCAACACTTTACCCTCATCACAGATATGACACTGATGCAGGGAAGGCCCAAGTTGTTGGCAGCAGCTGCCCTGGTCCTATGTCATGGTACTGGATCCCCAAAAATCCCTTTCATAGTTTCTGCCTGCCTACACCCCTCATAGTCCTAAACTTCAATATATTTCAGCTTCCAACATCTCAAATCTATTTGTAATACTGCTATTGGCCCACTTGAGACATAGGTCCTCAATGAGTAGAGAATAAGGCCCTGTTGCTATAGGAAGGGACAGTTCCTTTCCTTGAGTTCAAGACAACTCTGAGATGCAACTTTATTATATTAGAATGTTCTATATTAGAACTTTGGGCTGGTGCAATAGCACAGCGGTAGGGCATTTGTCTTATAACCGGCCAACATGGCCTACCCGAGTTCGATTCCTCTGCCCCTCTTGGAGAGCCCGGCAAGCTACCGAGAGTATCTCGCCCACATGGCAGAGCCTGGCAAGCTAGCCATGACATATTCGATATGCCAAACACAGTAACAACAAGTCTCATGATAGAGACGTTACTGGGCCCGCTCGAGCAAATCAATGAACAACAGGAGGACCGACCGTTTTAATATCAGAACTTTAGTTGTTCTATATTAGAACTTTCTGAAGGATCAGGTCGAAGACACTCCCAAAGATCACACCTTCTCTTGGCTTTTTCCTCTCTCCCCCCTTTTGTAAGTTGTCGGTGAGGAAATAAAGGAATAGTAGTGTTACTTTTTGTGGTGTGCAAAGTTTCCGCACTACTATCTCTGCCAAAGTGATCGAGACCCTCCGCCGCTATAGCTGGCCTCCTCTGCTCTCCTGCTCTGCTTGGTAACCTTAGCGCCGCAGTCAAAGTTGAAGGGTTTGCTATTATTGGACACTGTCCCTCTGCTCCCTATCTTTCCCCACCCCTTGCCAACCTCCTCCAGAGAACATTAAATAATTACACTCACCTCAGGGTCTGCTCCTAGGGAATGTGGCCCAGGATCAGATGTACTGTGAAGGTATAGCATGTCTATACCCTGGCATTCAACCACTTTTTTTTTTTTTTGGCTTTTGGACCACACTCTGATGCTCAAGGGTTACTCTTAGCTCTGCACAAAGGAATCACTCCTGGCAGTGCGTAGGGGAGCAGATGGGATACTGGAGATCCAACCCGGGTTGGCCATATTTAAGGCAAATACCCTACCTGCTGTACTATCAGGCGTTAGCACTCATCCATTTCTTGTCACCCACTCATTTGCCATTCACAAGGCTTGGCTTGTGTGCGAACTTACGTTCTCTTCCAAGGAGGTCAGCTGCTTATCAAGTCTCACTTGGTCAGTCCCAAGAGGAAATGTCCCCTTCTCTCTCTCAGGAGGGACGGCTGGGCACTCCCAGGGCCCCGCAGACTCTGCTATCAACTCCTCAGTGGCGTTGATGACTTTCAGGACTTCTGTGGAGATGTTGCAGAGAGAAACAGCAGAATACTTCTGTTTGGTCCAATAACAGAAGGGGGCAGAAGACAAGAACAGCACATTAACAACGACATGGGAAATGTACATTGTCATGGCACCCCTCGTGAGATTGATTCCATTGTTAAGCATGTGTGTGTGCATGCACACACACACACACACACGCACACATGCACACATACACAGTACATCAAGGAAAGAGAAAGGGCTGCACAGCAAGAAGGAACTTGGGAGAGGTTGGAGAGGGTTCAGTCTAGTTTCTAGTTTCTTGTCACAAATAATTATTTCTGATGCTTTGTGGGAGGAAAGGAGAACCTCTGTTTTTTTTTTTTTTTTTTTTTGGTTTTTGGGTTATACCCGGTGATGCACAGGGGTTACTCATGGCTCTGTACTCAGAAGTTACTCCTGGCAGTGCTCAGGGGACCATATGGGATGCTGGGAATCGAATCGGGGTTGGCCACGTGCAAGGCAAATGCCCTGCCCGCTGAGGAGGACCTCTTAAGTAAAGGTAACCATGTGTTTACTCTACTAACTGCCAATAGTTTTAAATCCATCACGTTGTTTTCTGGATAATATTCTATTTTCTTAAAAGAGTTTAAGATTGCCCAACTGTATCCACAGGGCACTTCTGGGGAACTTCGGGAGATCTGTGCTGAAGATCTGACTCTTACTTTTCCTGATTATGGGACGTTGGCTGAGTGGCTTCCCATTTTGGCAACTCAGTTTTGTTATCTGTATGATCAAAATTTTAGAAAATCTTCTCTACATCATCTTAGTAGCTACTCACATCAGCACACACACATTTGGTCTCAAGCCCACACTCTCCTTTGCCTTCTTCTGCCAAAGTGGCAGAATAGAAAAATACCCCATTTCCCAGTCATCCTTGCAGTGAGCGCATTCATATAACATAGTTCTTCCCAGTGAGTCTGAAGGAAAAGCTGGTTGAGGAGGTTTCCAGAAGAAAAGAGCTTTTCCTCCTCATCTGATTATTAGATGCAGCTGATACTCTTCCCCTACTTCTTTCTTACCTGGATTATAGACACACCACAATGAACCAAGAAGAAGAATGAGGAGTAAGGGGAACCAGGAAGACCCAGGAAAGAACCTGAGACCAGAAGCATGGGAGCAGGCCAGGAGCACTGAACTCAAGGCCTCCACATGCAAGGATGTGTTTGCTCTAGTCCTTTAAGCTAGTATCCCATACTATCATGGGATTTGGTATGTTCAGGTAAGGTATCTGACCCAGTCAAAACATTAATAATGTGAGGTGGCTTGGATTTCTGATGTTTGTTTCTCTGAGTAGAATCCAGCACAGGTTTTTATTCTTATTTTTTAAATTATTATTTTTTTTGGCTTTTTTTTGGCACACCCAGCGATGCTCAGGGGTTACTCCTGGCTCTGCACTCAGGAATCACTCCTGGCAGTGCTCAGGGGACCCTATAGGATGCCAGGGATCAAACCCGGGTCGGCTGCATACAGGTCAAATGCCCTACCCGCTGTACTATCACTTTGTCCCTATTATTATTTTTTTAAAATCTCAGTAGTTTATAATTGGAGCAGACATGCCCGAGGGACCTTCCCAACTTGTCTATTCCATAACAGATACTTGACTGAATCAACTGTCTTGCTTTTTTTGGTCCAAAGGACTGAGCCATAAGCCCCACCCACCTTCTCAATTGGGTTTGGGATGTAGGGAAAATGGGGTGGAGAGAAGAGCCCAGGAAAGCGACCAGTGTCAACTCTCAACCTTGGGAGAAATTTGCAGGGACTGCCTCATTCCCCTCTAGGATCTTGGGTCTTGATGTTGCAAATCTGGAGACAAATTGGGCTGGAAACGATTTGGGCACGAACCAGCTGCTACCGTAGCTTCAATCTATTTTAGAAAAAGGCAGTGATGTATGCATGAAAGTCAATGCTTACCCTTCCTTAGTAAATAAATCATTACTTGAGAAGGTTTGCTCATTATTTGGCAGGAGAGATGCCTTTGTAAGTTTTTCTAAAAGGAAGACATGATGATTCTAAGACTCAGAAAAAAAGTGATTTTTTTTATATGAAGAGAGGGAGAGGGTGAAAATTTCACCCCAGGCTTCAATTTGAACAGCCCCGTGAGCTGACTAGGGGCTGTGAGCTGAAAGTCAGATATGACCCAGTGGCATGCTTTTTTGGGAAGGGTGCCTTCTGCGGCTCTGCATTTTTCACTTTTTTCCCACCCCCACCATTTATTCAGCACATTTTGAGGGCATGGGGCAGGCATCTCTGCTCTGGGTGCTGAGATAAAGCAGTGGACAATGCATGAAGACCTTGCCCTCATGGCACACGTTTAGGCCTTCCAGTCACAGAGGCTAACACACTTTCCTGGTCCCTATAGGCATTTATGCCCACACTTGTCATTATGTCAGAATGAAGTATCCTGGCAGCTGGCTGGCGGAAGGCACCATCACAGTACCTGGATGGTCTGTGGTCTGCTTCCAGACCTGGTCCTCTAGCTGGGCATGGTGCCTCAAAGACAGGGACCTGGAGACTGAGAAGGACTAGAATAATGGGTGACTGCCATAACTCTGCTCTCCACTGGGCAATACAAAGTAGAATACATCAGCATTTGTGAAAACTAAACCCAAAGGCCAGGAATCAAGTTTATTATTTTCACACTGTAGTTGGTTATTGGCTTGGAATGTAGGGCTGGGGGGTGTAGGTAGATGCCTTTTAATGGCAGATAACTGGGATTTCACAGCTAGAGTGACCCAGTGGCTTCACGATGACTGTCAGGCATGAGCAGCCTGACATCCCCACACTGAAACCATCAACCCTGTATAATCAGGCTGAGAACAGCTGAGAGTGGTTCCCCACACCCTTAGGCACTGCTGGGGAGACATACCCTCTGCAAAGAGGAGAGAGAGAGAGAGAGAGAGAGAGAGAGAGAGAGAGAGAGAGAGAGAGAGAGAGAGAGAGAGAGAGAGAGATCTGAGATTTAATTAGCTGTAGGGCAGTCTCAGGGCAGATAAACTCATCTAAACCCAGTTAGAGATCAGACTTGTTCCAAGGCTAACACTCATTCCTTGTGTAAATATCCCATTTCCTGCCCGGGCTACATTTGATGATAGAAAGTCCTTCTACGATTATGTTAAATAAAACTATATTTAGCAATGGACAGGGCTTTGTTCGGATGAAAAGCTGGTGGGGACGGACAGATGCTGGCAGGGAGCCGTATGTGTGTATGTGTGTGTATGTGTGTGTGTGATGAAAAGTGAAAGGATTCTTTGTGCTTCTATTGCTCCAAGCCCCGCTGAGAAGCCGAAGGGCACACACAAAGCAGGAGTAGAGAACCAGGAATGCTCAGGTGGAGGCTGGCACTAATCCAGGTATTAACCAGAGGCACATCAAATGTGACAGCTTCATGGCATCAGATAAGGGGGCCAGGTGAAATAAGGGACAGGCTAATAACAGAATGCAGAGTTGGCCTCAAAGACACCAGGGGCCAAGGGACCCCTTGCTGAGGACATGCCTGGGTCTAAGGACCCGTGGAGCAGCACACGCAACCCTCTGGAGTGCCTGGTCCATGGGTTCTCCCTTCAGAAAGACCCCAGCAGGGTCTCTGCTGGTTCATACGCATGCCTCACCTTCCCACCATGTATGATCACTGCAAAAAGCCCAACTATGAGCTTTCTGGGATCAGTTTGTGTCACACCCACCTCTCCCCTGCTTCCTTTGGGAAATTAAATTCACATGAACTTTACAAATCCAGGGCTCTGGGCAACTGAAGTTGATGAGACCCCTTTTGGCATTTCCTAGGTGACTCTTTGGGGGAGGTAGTGAAAGAAGCATCCACCTCAACAAAGACTCAGGTTTCCTGTCTATGACCACTAAAGACAGGCACATCTGGTGAAGGTTCTGTAGCATTCCAAGGTTGGTGCCCTGCCACGGGGGCAAAGTCCCTGGATCTGAGAAAGACACCCCAAGTCAGGACCTGCTTCTCCTCAATCCCAACTGGATTCTGTTGTTTTGTTTTGTTTTGGGGAGCCCTCACCTAGCAGTGCACAGGGCTCACTCCTGGTGGTGCTTGGGAAACCGTATGGGATGCCTGGAATAGAAGGAAAGCTCCCTGCCTGCTGTACTATCTTCCAGGCCCCAACTTCAGCTGTTTTATTTCTTTCTCTTCAGGGACTACAGCGAAAAGTGAGATCTTGGCTTATTGTCTCCAGATCCATAAATTTCAGCTGGAACAGCCTCTCCATCCTGTCCCCGGGCATCTTCTCTTCCTTTCCTAAAGACGTGCCACATGCAGAGCAAGACAGAGACCCGAACATCAACAGAATTCTAGAGAGGAAAATGGATTTATCCTCAACCCTCAGACTATTTACCAAATTGCGCCCTTGGAAAATACTCCCACTATTTTTTTCCAGTGTCATTGTTCATTTTGAAGTTGTGTTGGGCAATGAAATGCAATTTCTGTAGGTGGAGGACACGGCAGACTTCTTGCCCGAGTATTGCAAGCTTGTGAACACGGGGAGCTTGTCTGATACTTGGCTTCATGTCAAGGGAACACTCTGGAAGGCCAGAGAGCAGATCCAAGCCCAGCTGGCAGTCTCACTGGGTCCAAACAGATTCAGCGAAAGCAATGTGTGATGGACCTGGGCTATATTAAAGACTTGGGGGGTATCATTTTGTGACCTGTCTAAGTGTGGACGGGCTCTATTCTAATGTACCAAGGGAAAGCTTTGAAGATTAATGAGCTGTACAGGTATCTAGGGCAGAAGAGGGAGTTTTCTTGTTCTGCCTGGGGACTTGTTCTGATGCTTGTAACAAAAGCAAAAAAGACTAAAGGGGTAGGAGCTGAACAGTTACTATCCCTCGGGCCTGGTGAAAAATAGAGGCAAGCAGTCTGCTTTTAGACTCCTGGGGCTGTCTGAGAAACAGGGGGAGACAGAGTCCAACTGACAGAACCAAAGAGAAAGAAGGTTTCTGAAATAAGGAAATAGAATCTCAAAGCTCCTTTTCCTGTGCAATAAGACAAACCCCAAAATGAATGCTTTCTCCCTCTCCATCAGCTAGTCATGTATTTAGTCTTTATTGGGAATCCATATTTCTGATGTCCTATTTCCTGAGAGAGGTGTTGTGGAGAGGTCAAGTCTCCACCTCTTGGGAGACAAAGGGTACCCAGGTCTACCCACAGAGGAGAGAGAACTTAATCAGGCATCTCCTGAAGATCAGCTGGAACACAGGGAGGAATGCATCTGCCGCAAGGCCTCCACAGAACACTCCGGGCCCACGCTGTGCGCCCTGGCCAGTGTTGTTCCTCAGAAGGGGAGAGAAGAGAGGAGGAATCCATTCCTCCACAGAAGCCAGGCCTCGAAGGCTCCTCAGGATTCCACCGAATCCTCACCACAGCTGTGACGGATCCATCTGCAGAATGGAGCAGACTCTGACCCGTGGAGACATGACTGAGCTGGGACACAAGCTCTGAGACTTTGGGCTGGGAAGCCCACTCGCCTTCTCTCCTGTCACGCTCCCTCCTCCTTGCATGTCACCCTGGGACCCAGGGACTGGAGCCAGAAGTGGTGGTGAAACAAAAGGGGGTTGTCTAACCAGTAGACAGTAACCGGGAGGGAGAGGGGCCTGAGGCAGGTGCCCTCAGCATCTGTGCATTTGTCCATCATCTGAGTGACTCTGGAGATGTGGCCCATGGGCCACAGGGGGTGACACAGGAATCTACCTGACTGACTGAGAGTTCCCTGGAGCTTGCCGAGCCACCCCAGGACGGAGCCACCAAGGACAGCTGGCAGGGACGAGAAACTCCGAGGCCTAAGAAATGCCGCTCAAGTGCGCCACAGCTTTCCCGGGGCCACTTGTTCCTCTCCTGGTCTGTGTCCAGATGCTGTCTCGGCGTTAGGAGACGCTTCTCTCAAACTACCAGAGCAAGCAGGAAAAGTTGTCCAAATGCCCTGATTTCAATGTAAGGTAAGAAAAAGAAACCCCATATGTTCTCCCAAATAGCTCACAGAAATCTGCTAGAAAAATTCCATGCAAATATGTTTCAGTTCGCAAGAAGCATAAGGCGCCCAGCGATGCTTCTACAACCCGTCAAAATACACTTTCCCAGAGCAGACTCCAGTCTCTCCAGAGAGTGAGCTGAGGAAGGAGGGAGGGCCGAGAACTGGGGTAGGAAATTGGAGTAAGGAACCCATACATTAGCATGTGAAATGAAGGAAAACAATGAAGGAAAACAATCGCTCTTATGGCGATTAAGAGCATCTTTTTATTCTGGAAAGTCTGGGTTTTAAAATCATCGAGGTTTTTGAAGGCCAAGGTGGTTTATGAAAGAAATTAATTTTTTTTTCTTTTTAAATGGTGGTTAGAGAAATGAATGATGAAAAAAAATGTTCTCTTTGCATTTGCATATGGTTCTAAAATGAATGGTCACAGTTTTGTTTGCCTGAGGTCAACTTTGGGTTGAAGCAGACCATTCCAGAACCTGCTAAGGGCAGGCAGGAAGAAAATTCTTGACCTTTGCTCACATTCAACCAAACCTGACTGGCAAGTGGAGGAGGTGCCCCTGTCATAATTCTCACTATTCTTTATTCTTTATTCATTTATTTTTTGTTTGGGGGCCAAACCCTGTGGTGCTCAGGGGATACTCCTTGCTCTGCACTCAGGAATTACCTCTGGCAGGACATGGGGGGGGGGGGCAATGGGATGCCAGGATTGAACCTGGGCTGGCCATATGCAAAGCAAGCACCGTGTCTGCTGTACTATTGCTTTGGCCCCTCATTTTTGAATACTGGCTGCTCTTCATGGGAAATACCCCATGTCACTCACCCCTGGTGGTAACCAGAGAGCCATCAGGCATGTGCTCAGCTCTGATGTTGTCAGATTAGACAAGACACCACCTTCCACATCCTCTAGGAAAGGAGAAGGCATATGACTCCAAATAACCTTGTCCAGTTCAATTCTTTTCTTTTCTGCTTTGTATCTTGCCCAGGATAAAAGCCCAAGTTTTCTGCCTGACCCACAAGGTCCTGCTGGCTCTGACTGCTGCCCTCTTCTCTCTCCCTTCTCTTTTCTACCCCTGGTTGTGGTGTTTTAATCTCATCCTTGAATTCATCAAGGTCATTTCCAGCCTGAGTTCTACAGGAACTCGTCTGCTGGAAAAGCCTGAATTTCCTCCCTGTACCCCTCAGGTCTCAGTCTGAAAGAAACTTGGTCAGAAAGATCTGGATTTTTCCAGGATTCCACCTCCTCCCATCTCTCTCCACAGCCCTGCTCAAGCTTCTTAGCCCTCATCACTACTTGACTTCTCCCCTATTTGTCTGACATACTTCTCCGCTCACTCCTCCAAGAGAAGGCACATTCCATGAGAGGAGAGTTTCCTATTTATTTTTATTATAGGAGACTCCTCCCGGTCTTGGTCAACTGGGCTCCAAGTGTGAGGCTCTGAAGATGAGCTGCTGCCTTTGGTGCCAGGAATTATCTGGGCCACTCCAGTGGGGTTAGGGGCTATAGCTGGAAGTTTCTTTCATTGGTCCTTTTGGGCATTGCATCTCTTAGAAGAGTCCAACAAATATTTGCTGAATAAGAGGTGAATGGTTAGGGATTCAAATGTTAGAGCATGTCACAAAGAGGTCTGGTACATCTTCGTTACTGTCTCTTAAGTGCATTGTTGACTCTATAAGCCAGAACATCCATTTCTTCACAGGAGTAAAAATCAAGGACCTTCTCTTGCTACACCCCTCTCCCTCAAGAACTGGTGAAAATTTGTCCCAGTACCATGTCTTATTAAGAAGTGATCTCTTCCCAACTAGGAGTGGGAGGTGGATCGGAAATGAGATAACTCAGGAGTTGAAATCTAATATATTCTAGGCCATATTTCTGGACTATTTCATTATATTCTGTATTGCTCTAGCAGAAGTTTAATTACAGTGTCTTTTAAACACCATATAGTATCTTACTAGATAGATTATTCTTTAATCAAATGATTATTTGAATTCTCTTAAAAGTTAAAAAATATCCGGCTGGGAATATGTTTCAAATTATATTAAACTTTTGCCCCAATTTTGGAATAATTCATCTTCACACTATCTTTCCTACTGTAGGAAACTGCTAAATTCCTCGGAGATCTGCAGTTTTCTTGTTAAGTTTTAACTGTGCATTTTTTTGCTCCTATTATGGATGGAATTGATTTCCATTTTATCCTCCCACCTTCACCCCTCCCTCCCCCCGCCTCAATCTGGCTTAAGATTCATCTGCAAATGTTGGTTCAAGGCAAATTAATGGATTAAACTGGAAACTCTTAAAATGGGCAGCATGAACGGAAATGCCAATACCAGCTGAGCAGTACTATGTAATGATGATTTACGATCTAGATTTATCAATAAACCTGCTACCGAGAGACTTCTTTTTAAGTGCAAGTCTTCTGCAGCCTTTTACAGCTCTGTCTGTCTCAAGGAAATATTCACGATCTCTGACCTTCACTGTTGCCTGGGGACTTTTTTATTTCTCCACATTGTTTTCTCCGATCTTCTGTCAGTAGCTATTTCAGTCTCTCCACCATTCTGACATCCCAAATCCCCTTACTTGCAGAAGACCAACCTGTTTTCTCATTCAGAGTGCTTCAGAGAGGGGGGAAAACATAGGACACAAGGCAAAACATTTCAAACTTCTGATATCAGAGGTGCCCACTTGTATCTTCACCATTTTGTCTTTGCTATTTCAAGGTAAAGGCCTCATCTGCTTCTTGGACCCCATCCCTTTTAATTCCCAAGAGTCCCTCATTGGCCATTTAGGTAGTTTCTGGTGTGTCTTTACAAAAACATTACATTGCTTGATGAACTGTGATGCAATATACCCTCAGCTACTGCTTCCATAACAGCTTCATTTTACTAAACATTTTTTTTGGGAGGGAAGATGAGTTTGACCACTCCTGGTGGTGCTCAGGCACTATTTCTGGTTCTCTGCTCAGGAGTGACCCACTGGTGGTGCTCAGAGGAATATATGCACTGTTAGCAGGTATTGAAGCAGGGTTAACAGCATGCAAAGCAAGCACCTTACCTCATCTCCTTCCTATCTAACTCTTCTACAGAGTCATAAGAGCTATTTACATAGGAATTCTGGACAGACTTTCTCTAGCACTCAGTTCATGTTTTGTCCAGTGATGAAGATGAACTCTTCTAAGGTATGCGAGACAGAATCAGGAATTCTGTCTTCCCAGGCAGGAAGGCAGGCAGGCCCCTCCTGCATCCAGGACACAGTGTGGAATGAATGATGCAATGATAACATGAGTGCAATGAAACTTCCTCACCTGTTCAAGCACTGTGGATAAGAGCTGGAGCTCTAAGTGGACAGCTAAAGCTTCTCTTTTCTCCTGGGGCAGCAGTTAAGTAGAAAGTTAGAAGAAAGAGGTTAATTCCTCAACAAGCGTAAGGCCCAAGAGGTACAGTACAACTTGGAAGACACACATCAGTTTCTAATGCTATATCACTGTAGCAGCATCTGAATAGAAGACACTCTTTCTGAACGAAATGCTCCCTGGAATGAGAGGTTCTGAATCCTTAGGTGGATGGTGAGTTGTTGATACATGGGTGAGACATATGTGGGATGATGACACTTGATTTTATGTGTGTACCACAAGATCAACAAGAAATATTTTTCACAAGCATGTGAAACTTCAGAAATCAAATGCTCTGGGTTTTCTCCAGTAACTGACAACAGATCCATCCTGTGGTCACTGACCAGGATTCTATTTCGATGTGACTCATTAGTAAGTGAGAAGCAGCTAAAAGAAGATGGAAGTATTAATATATTGCTTTGGATTAGAGTAATTTATAAGCTGAGGAGTATACTTAGGTGAGAAATATTCCAAGAAACTAAAAATATGACCCACACTGGAGAGTCATCAATTTTCTTATGGAAAATGAAAAAAGAACAGTGACTCAACTACCTGTGATAATAGTAAAAAAAACCAAAAGGCATTTTAAATAAAAATGATTTCGGGACATTGGATACAGAAATATAAAGCAGGAATTTATTAATTGATGCTTTCAACAAATACTTCTATTCCCAAATATTAACACACAGGACAACTTTTGTCATCTGAACAGCATCACAAATTATACTTACATAGCAGGAATCAAAATCCTTTTTAATCTACTAACTACACATTAAATAGAACCATGGGATTTTGGAGCTGGAAGTGACCTTGGGGAGCAATGCTTGTGCCTGGAAAGATTAGGGGGGCCAGGAGAGATCCAGTTCCTCATCACCAACCCAAACTCAGGACACAGAACATGGCCCTTCTCTTACTCTTCTGTCAGGAATGTTGCACCATTTCCCTACTGTTTCCCAAACAGTTTTGAAGCCTATTTCAGCCAAGATTTTTTTTTCTAGAACCATGAACACGCCCATCTGCTCTGCAGTGATGGAGATCATGCTTATTCCTGGTCCCAGAGGGTCCTGTGATTTGAAAGGAGGTTTCAAACCACAGAGGTTCCAGAGAACCAAGCTGGTATCTGGCTGGCCCCAAGCATAACCAAATCACCTTGTTCTTCAGCTAGTTACAATCCAGATGATGATGGCCATTCTTGAAGCATATGGGGTGTCAACACCCAACACAGGGAGAACAAGTCCCACAGACATCAAAGAGCTGACTCTAGATGAAAAGGAAGCACATGTCTGGAATGATTCTGCTGCTACTGGACAGAAAGGAATAGACCCAGTCCCACACACTTCCCGCTATGGTTGGCTGGTGGTACTGCAGAGGCAGAAGGTTCACACTCCTCTGCCACGGATCCCAGGGGGTGGGACCCCCTGCTAGTCTGCCTAAGGAGGTGCAGTGGTCAGCAAGGCATCTGCCATTCATTTCCTGAGAGCACAGGAACAGCACTGAGGCGAATATCCTGCCAGGTGATTTTTAATATTTTGTTTCCCCAGAAGCTGATTCTGAGGTCAGGATTTGAGTACATGGAGGTAATCTTGGAGGCAGCCCCGGGAAATAGTCGGGGCCTGGAGCCAGTGAAGAATGTCTTCCTGAGGTGCTCCTCACTCTGCAGAAGCACAGGAAGTGATGGCTCCTGGCTCAGTTGTCAAAGCCAGGGAGGCAAAGGAAGGGATCTGTTTCTACTCTTACTAGGGATGCTCTGGGGATACCTCTCCCCCTCCTCTCCCTCTCTCTCCCTCTCTCTCTCTTTCTCTCTCTCCCTCCCTCCATCCCCCATCCCTGTCAGGGCCCCTGCATGGTGCTCTGCTTGGCATGAGCAGGTTGGGTTTGGACCCAGGGGAACATCACAGTCAGGCGGATCCTGAAGATGAGAACCCAGAGTGAGTTTGCAGGCCCCGTCTGTCCCCCTGACATTCTGCAGCGTGTGACAACCCTGAGGAAGCGCTCAGTGGGGTTACAGACCCCCTGGTGTGACGCCACACTTGTGGGGAGGTGGGAAATTGGACTCGCCCTTGGGACTGGCAGATGGATGTTACCTCCTGACAGTGAGGTTTGTTTTCTTTGAGATTGTTAAAGAAGACACAGTGACTAATATTTTCCAAGCCCAGGCTTTGTGCTAAGCTAATGCTGGGTTGCACAGTTCAATTCTCACAACTCTACCTACGCACGAATATCCCTCTGTATAGATGAGGCCGTGATATGGGTCAACAGTACAGATTGGGCTGGGTCCTGGGCACCACAGTGTAAGCAAGATGGATCTGAGCCTCTGGACATGAGATGAGAAGGTCATGGCATGAATGACCACTGGGAGGCCAGAAGCCCCAGGTGTCATCAAGCAGATGACACTGGCTTGATCTAAGCAGTGACTGTGATTTAAGGCACTAACCCAAGTTAATTGTCAGATAATTGTGCTTCAGATTCAATCTAATCCTAAAGCCTATCTCAGCTTCTAAATCGGTCAGTCACGTCCTTCACAGTCCTCCCGTTGTTCATCGATTTGTTTGAGTGGGCCCAGTAACGTCTCCATCGTGAGACTTGTTGTTACTGTGTTTGGCATATTGAATACGTCACGGGGAGCTTGCCAGGCTTTGCTGTGTGGGTGAGATACTCTCGGTAGCTTGCTGGGCTCTCCGAGAGGGGTGGAGGAATCGGACTCAGCTCGGCCAGGCCGGCTTCGTGCAAGGCGAACGCCCTACCGTTGTGCTATTGCTCCAGCCCCAGCTTCTAAATAATCCCCAATATATAAACTTACATTTCTGTTTTCCTTTTATCAGAAGTCAAAGGAATATAATCACACCTGCTGGGGAATAACATCTTTTTTTTTTAATCAGATGTCTGGATTTTTACACATAGCCAGTAATATCTGGTTGAATATTTAATCCACTGATTCATGGTTGGTTGGAGGAAATACTTAACTGATGGAGAAACAGACACTTTGGAAAGTTAAAATAAAACAAACTTTCAGGGCCAGAGTGATAGTTCAGGGATAAGGTGCCTGCCTTGCACATGACCAGCTCTAGTACCACATATGATCCCTTGAGCATTGCCAGGAGTGATTCCTGAGCACTGTGGGGTGTGTTACCTTCCCCTCCCCTCCCAAACAGCGTTCTTAATTTCCTGCTCAGTGAGGGGTTGGGGACAGAGAGGAGGGGGCTTGTCCAAGAGCCCAGGATCTCTGAAGTGGCTTCTCTGCTTCTGTTCCCATGGCGCCCAGGAGAGCAGAGCACAGACTGTTTCCAGGAGGTGCGTGCTGCAGGCGGGGTCTGTGGGAGGGCTGGCACATGGCTCCTCCTGGCCTGGCATGCCCTGGCACAGCATGAACTGTTGGAGCCTGGGAACCAGCAGGCACTAAAGCCAGTGGGGAGACTAAGAATAACGCCATGTCCTCCAGTTCCCATCTGTCTCTCAGCTCCAGCAGACAAATCAGACCCTAACAGGACATTGACTCAGAGGCAGAGAAGATGAGAGCCTGTTTGCGTGGTGGAATCCAGGGGCCCGGAGGCCACATTGAAGGCCCAGCTCTGCTCTGCACCCGCAAACGTGCCAGGAACGTACGTGCTGGCTCAGGTAGACAAGTGAGGACATTCGGGTGGGAGCAGGAAGTGGAGGGAACAAGGAGGAAGGCAGAGCTGGCCGGCTGGAGGGCCCAGGATGGACACGTCTTTCCTTGTGGGGATGCTCCTAAGTGGAGCTCAGGAGACCTGGGGGCACCCTCTAGGCGATTCTGGCCAACTGGGCCAGAAGTGAATGTAGGGCCTGAGGATGCAGTGCTGCTTGGGTCCTGTGGGGGCTGGGGACCACCAGGTCACCTCAGCATTGCTCAGGAACCTTCAGGTAAAACCCTGGAAGTGCTTGGGGCATCACGCAGTGCAGGGGATCAAACCAGGGTCAGTGCTCTGCAAGGCAGCCTTAACCCCTGGGCTACCTCTGCTGCTCCTCTCTCTTTATTGTGCTCACACCCACGCCCATGTCCTCTTTCTGGGCTAGCGTGGCTACTGATTGGATGGAGGGAGCCCATTTCTCAAGTATGAGGGTTACCAGTCACCTTGTTAAAGAGGGTACTCACAGCATAGGGGGAAAGAAAGCCCATCACACAGACAAAGCAGTCAAGACATCACCAGGCAAGATCTTACCTGCGTACTGAACAAGTAGCCTGTAAAGGAAGCCTATGATTGCAGGCCTTCCTCTGAAACTGATCAGCTAAGGGGGATTGGCTAACTCCTTCATGTCTCTGTTTCCTCCTCTGCAAAAAGGGGCTGTATCTACCACAAAGAGTTATTCTCTGAGCTCACCAACAGAAGCCAAGTACCAGGCACCGAGCAGACACTCAAGCAACAGCAAATGCTCACCGCCCCCTGAAGGTGATGGCCAACAGAGGCCAAGTTTGGCATGAGCACGCTTGGAGGAGTGTGGGAGAAATTGAGGCCCTTTTTGGGTGGCAGTTCCAGACCACTAACTGGGGAACACTGAGTCTGGATCTAGGGGACAGCTAGTCTGGACTCCTTTATGCCTCGCTTGGGGGAAAGGTGGCATCTCTATTCACTGGTTTCTAAAACTGATCTCCTAGAGCTCAGGGGGTGGTTTGTGGGGTGGGACTGAATATCTAGAGGTTGGGGTTTGGGGCACCTGGAGAGCAGCAATGCTTTGATCTGTTTTAAAACATGGGCCTTCCTAGCTGAGAGAGAGAAGGAACCACCAAGTAAATGATGCTTGGAGGGCTCGCTCAGGATAAGAGATGCGTGCTGAAACCAGACTATAGACCGAACATGATGGCCGCTTAGTACCTGTATTGCAAACCATAACCCCCAGAAGGAGAGAGCGAGAGTAAAAGAGAATGTGCCTGCCACAGAGGCAGACGGGGGTGGGGGGGGGGCGGGGGGTGGCGGGAGGAATACTGGGACCATTTGTGGTAGAGAATGGGCACTGGTGGAGGGATGGGTACTCAATCATTGTATGACTGGAATGTAATCACGAAAGTTTGTAAGTCTGCAACTGTATCTCATGGTGATTCATTAAAAAACAAAACAAAACACAACAAACAACAACAACAAAACACATGGGTCTTCCATAAGAGGCTTGTTTGAAAAAGGACTCTGAGCCCAAGACAGACAAATAAATTTAAATATAAAGTACTGCAAAGAGAAATAACCCAGGGGGCTGGAGCAATAGCACAGCGGGTAGGGCGTTTGCCTTGCAAGCGGCTGACCCCGGTTCAATTCCCAGCATCCCATATGGTCTCCTGAGCACTGCCAGGGGTGATTCCTGAGTGCAGAGCCAGGAGTAACCCATGTGCATCACCAAGTGTGACTCAAACAGAAAGAGAGAGAGAGAGAGAGAGAGAGAGAGAGAGAGAGAGAGAGAGAGAAATGACTCAGAAGACCACTTAGCAAAGACGTCACGTGAAGGAATGAAGCTTCATCACTGGTTAGACCAACTGGCCAAACGGTCTCAATCCCCAAGTGTTTCAAATGGCTCTGGGAGCCCAGAGGGTAGGACACAACATGCCTGGGAGCAAGGGAAGATCAGACCGGAAGTGGAAGGGCTCTCTTGTTCAGGAGCGAGAGGTCTTGAGAGCTCTGCAGGCAGGGGCTGCTGCCTTCCTGCGGGAACCTTCCCATGCTCCTCAGATGGGTTCTCTTGGCTTTGCCCAGACCCTGGCACTCAGCCTCGTAGTGCGTGCTCACTGGGGGCCCAGCCCCCTCTCTGCACAGACACCAGCCCTTTCCCCACCCAGCATCGGAAGTGATGCAGTGGCCAGGCGGGACCCCAGCCCTTACCTTTTTCAGCTGCTCCTGGACGCCCTGGCAGTTGTCTTCCGACGACAGACTTTCCTTCTGCGTCTCTGATTCCGTCTTGGGCTCTGACTCCTGCTCCTCCCCCGAAGACGTCTCCTTCTCACTCATTTTCATGGCTAACTCGTACAGCCTGTTTCTCCCTTGCGCTTCTGGGGCGTCTGGGCAAGGGTGCAGAGTTGCATTGCTGATGTCCGTCTCTGATAAGTCAGCCGGCATCTAAATGAAAGCCAGAAGCATGAGCGGAGAACGGCTGCCTCAAAGGCCACGTGGCCTGTCAGGCCAGGAAGGTAAAAATTGTCTCCCCTGATTCACTTTCTTTGGAGATGGGCCTTAGTCTTCTCAAATAACAACCCCCCCCCCCCCCCCCCCCCACACACACACACCTTAAGACTTATTAAATGGGGATCTGGGTAGGTTGCATCTATACTCGGAAAAGCACTTTTTAAAAAAAATTTTCCTCATTGTTTTTCATTCACAAAATACTGTATTCCCCCCTGGGAAGCATGCTGCTGGTGCTCAGATGCAAGGCTGGGCAAACCTGTTTGGGACCCTCGCCACCAAGAGCTGGATTTCTCAGTTGGGAGCTCCCCATTGGGCCCCTAGAATATTCCAAGGGTGAAAATTGCATAGCATGAGACAAAGCATGATGACATTGTTTTAATAACACCAAACATCAGCCAAGCGGCACAAATGCTGGCCGACTTTGACCGTGAGTGTGGAAAGGTAGGACTACAGCTGAATCTTACGAAGACAATGTTTATGAGAAACAGCCTTGTTCCTGACGCCCCATTCGCTCTCAATGGAACGACCATCTCCGAATGCAACAGCTATGTGTACCTAGGTCGAGAGGTCAACATGACAAATGACCTGGCACCCGAGCTGCGCAGGAGGAAGAGAGCGGCTTGGAACGCCTTCAAGAACGTCGAAGAAATAGCTAAGAGGACGAAGAACCTCCGGCTCCGGGCACATCTCTTTGATTCCACTGTTCTTCCTGCATTAACATATGCCTCAGAGACCTGGGCCCTACGCAAACAAGATGAGAACGCTATTCAGGTCTCCCAAAGAAGAATAGAAAGAGCTATGCTTGGAATATCACGTTTCACTCAAATGAGAGAACGAATCCGGAGTTCTGACATCCGTCGACGATCAAGGATCAGGGACGCTCTCTCATTTGCCAAGGTGTCGAAAATCAGATGGGCTGGTCACGTAATGAGATTTAAAGACGACCGTTGGACTAGAGCTGTTACTGATTGGATTCCACGGGATGTCAAAAGACCGCGTGGCCGCCCACCTACCAGATGGTCAGACTTCTTTGTCAAGGTCATGAACGATCGGTTTGAGGCCCTCCATGTTCCCGGAGCGAACAGATGCCATTGGGCTACACTAGCACGCGACAGGGACAAATGGAGACGTTACTGGCGCCCGCTCGAGCAAATCGATGACTAACGGGAAGTTAAGTGATTAAGTGATTAAGTGAGACAAAGGGGCCACAGGAAAACTACAAGGTCAGAGGGAGTCATGAGTGGAAAAAAGAAACACTAATCCAGGGGAAGAGACATGCCCAAACATTTAGTACAACAGTCAGGGTGGAAAGTGCGAGAAGGTGGGCAGGGAGGGAGGCTCTGATAGCCCAAGAAGAAGCTCTTGATGGGGATGAAGGAAACGTTTCTTGTGAAAGAGATGCTGGGGCTCAGATTGCAACTGGAGAATGGCACTCTAGCTCAAAGATTTCTGAGCTACAGTGACTTAGTGTGTAAGGGACACTGTGTCATCCCCTTGATAATGACAGTTCTCCAGCTTTCCTGCCACAGTCCTGGCTCCTGTGACCCACTGCTGACTCTCTTCAGCTGCTTCTTCGTGTGATGTCCCGTTTAGGCCTGGAGAACTCCAGGGGGACCAAAGACCAGGCCTCTCACTCTAGTCTTATATGTACATTGGACACAAAGGGATGGAATTTGAACAAGGTAGCCCATAGCATATTGTCACTTGAAGCCATCAGATTCAATTTTAGTTTCTGAGTTTCTTCTTTGAGTTGTCTTATTTGAGAGGTTTGATGTTTCATGGCTTGTCTTGAAGGACTTCCAAGGAATAAAGAGGAAATGTACTTATAAAAAATACAAAAGAACTCCTTCTATTTTGAGTTCATTGGACCCTTTAATAAACCTAATATATGTGATGATGGCTTCTGTGTCATCTTATTTTCCTATCTTTGGAAATAGCTTGCTATTTCATCATCATCATCCTGGGAATTATTTTTCATGACTCATCGATTATTCTCATTTTTTTTCTGAAAGAGACTAAAATAAACAGGAGAATAAAACTGTTTAGAAGGATCATTCATTCAACAGAAAATCATAAACACTTCAAATCTACTTTTAGCTTTCAACTGCATGAAGTTGAGAATTCGAAATTCTTCATAATAGAGAACTGAGAGAACACATATCATAAGTACTAGGTGACTCAGAAGATGAATACAAAGAGAAAGCACCTCTCTAGACTAATAATGAGGGTGGAATTGATTGTATAAGTAAAAATCTCGGATTATCTTCAGAGGATTGTACCCTAAGTGATTTTTTTCTTCAAGGCAAGCTTTGTTTTAAACCATGTATTTATAAAGATAAAAGAAAATATGTATTTTCAGTCACTCGCTCAGCTGGAAGGGCTTGACCACTATGCATTTTACAATGAAAATTTATACCATCCTATTTTGCTCTAGAAGATGTGTGGCAGAATCTTTTCTTCTTTCTCATGTCTGTAACAAATTGGCTCCACAGTCTTTGTAATTGGGGTAAGAAAATCTTGAAACCTAGAATCCACAGGACTTGGCATTACCAATCTCATTCTGTTGCTCTCTTCTTGAACCTAGATAAAGTCCCATGCCACATTCTTTCCTTTTAAACTGGTTAACTTTTGAACTGAGCACACAGTACCCCCCCCCCCACCCCACCCCGCTCCACACCTTGATGTATCTATTTTACTGGAGCCAGGTGGTCTGATATCCAATTTTCTTTCCAGACTTTGTTCTCTGAATCGGAACTGATAACATCAAGGATCCGGTGGTACACAAGTGATTCAAGTAAACCAGAACGAGTCATTAATCAAGCTGATGTGCAAGAATTTTATGAGGAACACCTGGACCTCTTACTCCACGACCTTCCTGCCTTGTACAAATCCTTGTGCCTTATACTCAGGGATATTAGTATATTTTGGAGGGTGGGTGAGGAGTAGGTAGGCTACCAAACATAAAGGGCCCATGATACTGCTCAGCACAGAGGAGCTGGGAGCCTCAGGGGTAAACCTGGCAGTGCTCAGAGGTTCCGGGGATTGAAGTAGGGCCTTTGTGGATACAAAACACATACATACACCAGACCCCTGTGCTGCCAATCTGGCCTGAGAAGGGAATTGTTCTGGGCTATAGCCACTGCTGATGTCCCCTCCTGACACCCACTGCAACTATCTTTTCCTCATTGTCAGTGACTAGTTTTGCCAGGAAAAAAGCAATTAGTCAGCTTTGCTAGTACCAACCAGACAAATGCCAAAGGTATGTCAGTGTAAAGGTGATTAGAAGGAAATAGAGGACCAAAAAAAAAAAAAAAAGAAAGAAAGAAAAAAAGTCACGCACTGCCATAAAGGTCTACTGGAAAAGACTCATTTTCCTGGTCCCACACAAGAACAGAGGTGGAAGACAAACAGTCACCAGGGTGCCTCTGGGTGTGTCTGAGAAGGAAGGGCCCCCCCTGGGGCTTTAGGCATGGGCCACAGGGCTGGAATGGCACCTGGGCATGCTCTTGAAAGATGAAGATTTGTTCTTTTTTTGGATCATACTCAGTTCTCCTCAGGGCTTATTCCTGTTACTCTTGACAGGACTCAGGGGGCCTGGGTCAGTTGCATGCAAGGCAAGTGTCTTATCTGTTGTATTATTACTTCGACCCAGAGAGGACAGCTTTAATATGTACAGATGGGGACAGTCTTGATGACATGGGAGCAGGAACAGTTAAGTCCTAAGGTGCATGGGAATGCTTTGCGGAGTTCAGAGCAGTGCGTCTCAGTCTTTCCTGACTGTGGCCCTCTTCCAACTTGTGTCCTTCCTGTGGCCCCCTGTCCTACTGGCTAGGCCCTTAGGTTTGTGCTGTGAACCTCTCATTTATGCAATTTTCACCTATATCCACCCCTTCCACTCTCAAAATATCCCAAGGGTCTATAGGGCCGCCATTTGAGAAACACTGGTTTGGAGGGACAGAGATTTGGAGAGGAGAGACTGGGGAAGTGGAGGGAGATGTGGAGAAGACAGGCCTGATCAGACAAGACAGTTGACGGGTTGTACCAGTCTAAGAAACTCAGCTTGGGGCTAGAGCGATAGCATAGCAGGTAGGGCATTTGCCTTGCATGCGCCCAACCTGGGTTTGATTCCCAGCATCCCATGGTTCTCCAAGAATTGCCAGGAGTAATGCCTGAGTGCATGAGCCAAGAGTAACCCCTGTGCATTGCCGGGTGTGACCCCAAAAAGGAAAAAAAAGAAACAGCTTTAGTTTAGTTTTGGGGGCTACACCCAAGAGTGTGCAGGACTTACTCCTACTTCTGTGTTCAGGAATCACTCCTGGCAGTGCTCAGGGAACCACACACAGTGCCAGGGATCAACTTGGGCTTGGCAGTGTGCAAGGCAAGCCCCTTTACCTCTGTCTTATCTCTTCGGTCCTAAGAAATGAGCTTTATCAAGTAGTTTTGCTGCTCCTGTTGTGCTAAACTATGCACTAAACTATCCAGAAAGTCTGTGAATGGCTTATAAACCCCTCATCAGGAACTCGTCCACGCATCTCACATCCAGCAAACTCAGGGCTAGGCGCTTCCTTCATGCAGTTGCCTGCATGACCACTGTGGGAGCTCAAAGAGGAGAGACTCCGGCTTGGTGGAGTTCCTGGTGCAGGGAAGTCCTGACATAGGGGAGAGAACATCCAAGTGGACCATTGCTATAGTCCTCCAGCATGCTATAAGACTCGAAGTTGGGGGCTCTCCGTAACTGACTTTGGTGAATGTGGTCAATGGGGAAGAGAAAGTGGAATAGTTTGCATCTGAGCAGAGTCTTTAGAATCCTGACAGCGAGATCAACTCTGCCTGAGCTCCTCTGAACATGAAGAACTAAAGGTTCTCAAATTCAGTGAGGACTCTGCAATCATGTACATGGTGATGGAACACCCAGGGCCTGAAATATCATGATG